CAGAGCTTTGATGCTAGCAAGCACATAATAGCTTAACATCTACGACAGTAGGGGAGGGGGGGGAGGGGAGGGGGCCCTGTGCTGTGTTGACCATGGAGGGGAGGGTCGAGGGGGTTGCAGTGAGGGGAGTTGGCCAAAAGAGATTACAGACCCTTTGTATGTATGTATGTATCTATGCATGTATTTTAAGTATGTATTCTGTATGTATGTTTGTTTGTTGCCGTAAATGATTGTTCTCTAAAGTTATGGCCAACTAATGGCATGACCTCTGACCTCGTAAACCATCGTACGACTTCTTTACTGTGTCGCCGTGCCGTACTTCCTCTTGCTGCTGTTAGGTTGCCGGCCAGCAGGGCGCCTACCTGGCCCACCTGCTGAACAGCGGGTACAACCTGGGGGTGGGGGGCTACACACAGCCGCCACCGTTCCAAGTTGTTAAGCGGAACAAACTGCAGGTACGACGATCCGAAGGTGTAAGCTCTGTATGCATGTGTGTGTCTGCAGTTTGCGTGTGTGTCCATGTCTTCGTGTCCGTGTTCATGTATGTATGTGAGTGTGCGGTGGGGCGGGGGGACGTGATCGCGATGTGGTGGTGGGGGTAAGGATGTGGCGGGTGGGCGGGCCCATGTGCACATGTCGGCGAATATGGGGGGACCGAAACACGTGCGCATTCCTATGTATGTATGTATCGGCAGTTGAGTGTCTTTGGTTTCCTGCATCCCATCATTCCCACCTTTGTGCCCTGTTTCCCTTGACCCCTGAACTTATTTCACCCCCCCTCCTCCCCCCCTCCTTCCCCCCCTCCTCCTCCTCTTCCTCCACCTCCTCCTCCTGCTCCTCCTGCTCCTCCTCCTAGACCCTGACGGAGCAGAGTGCGGCCCTGCAGTGGCTGGCAAATGCCATGATGGGCGGCAAGAACCGAATTGAGGTGGCCGGCGAGGTGGGGAATACCGGGACGGGGCGGGGGGGATACGGGTGTGTGGGTTAGGATGGGCGAACCTTGCGGAAATGGTGGTACAGATGTTGGGGCGAACGTGTTGGAGGAAAAAGAGGTTGGGTTTTTTTGCAGGGCTGGGTTCGGGGGACAAGGAGCGGAAGATTTCAATGTGGACGTACGGCATGGGATCGCACGGCAGTGTACGGCGCTTCGCCCCAGGGGCCGTGACCCTGTCGTCGTGTGCTATATTGACGGCCTTTGAGCACATTGTCGTCGTCCTGTTCTGCATG